CATATTTTTTACTATACATAATATTCAATTATCTCAATATATTCTTTACTTATATTTTATATTTCTAATTTTAATATAGGCGATATAATTAAGCAATATACAATAATTATGTAATTTAATTTAATATAATGTGATTTAATTAATTAGAGAGAGAATGTGTGAGATGGTAAGATACTGAGATATAAAAAAGATGAAGAGCATCTTTTCTTGTTATAAATATTTATTTACGACTACAAGAGCACAAGAGCAAAAAACAGCTAATAATTCTGTGTACTAATAGAGATTTAAATTTGGATTTGGTAAAACATGGTTACATAGAGGTAAAAAAAAAAAGCTAGCAAATTCCAAATGGAAAATTTTGCAACTCAAGGAGACCTTTTGACACACAAATCAACATTTGCCATTTACACTAGATTTTATGACAGATATTCGTCGTTGTAAATTATTTATTATCTTTGATTGGAGCATAATTAATTACAGATTTGTATTAATGGCTGTTATTCGTCTGTTTCATTGTAATCAATATTTCTTGGTGTGTGAAATAAATATATGAACATGTTGACGAATAATCAGAGATTATGAAACTATAATTATGTATGAAATGATAACGGACTATAAATTGCTGACCTAAATATCAACTGGAGTATCTTTATTCTCAGTAAATTTGTCATTAAAATCGGAATCATTCCGTATAGTAAATAATTTGACACAGACCTAGAAATACGTGGATGTATCGTTGTTCATATTCCCCGTATCTTGTTTTCTTCGCTCTGACTTTGCAATTTAGCATCCTAGTTCTAAGTTGGCCCCATCATGACACTCCGGATACTCACTGGTAACATTCACACTTGCGTGAATACGACTCGATTGTAAATTAGGTTAACTTACGATGACGCGTATTAGGTTAACTTACGATGACGCGTATTAACTATTATGATGCCAGCGAGAGTACGATTAGATATATCGAGAACGACGGAATATTTTAATCATAGAACTGGAATTAGTCAAAGCTACGATACACGTACTTAGCGTCCCGATATATCTTTCGCTCGTCGGCTCGAAACGTAATGATTCAGGCACGAAATGGACACAACACACGAGCAACGTCCTACCTAGTTTTACCTGTCTTAAAAATTCGCAATGTGTTGATTGTTGTCACTTCTCTTGGGCGTAAATACGAGCGTTGTTTGTTTACGTCGGGGAACGACGGTTGGCGATGGACTCTGCTTTTCTTGGCAACTGTTTTGACTTGCTCGATCGTTGTACACTTTTCCATGCGCGAATATCATGCCGCGTGAGTCAGCGAACGAGATGTATACGTTATGGAAAGTACATATTTCGGTACATTAGTTATGATTCCGGCGGTTGATTCAAATTTTTCGCACGTTAAAACACGTCACGTCGTCACCGAATATGGCGAATTATAAAATTACAACTGTACTTTTGAACTGCACTTTCTACACTCTCTTGCAATACATTAGGTCTGTTCGTTTTCGCTGCACCGCTGAACTAGTGCAGTAAGTTGAAGAGAGACAAGTATATGTTTTCTCACTTCAACTTATTGCACTAGTTCGGCGGTGCAGCGAAAACGAACAGACCTATTGTTAAATGTATTATCTTTCTTCAATTTCTATCTCTATTCCACCAAATTTGAATATAATGATTTAATTAGTGAGTACAGAGTACATCTTTATTTGATTTTATAGACGGAATACGAATTCAGATCTTATATTGAAGACTATTTTAAGTTTATCTACAGATGTTGTACGGATTATTTTATTGGCTACGGAGGATCTGAAGATAAACTTGAGACGATTTTAAATATAAGAACTGACTATAGCTAAATTCGTTTAGGCTGCCTTTCGCATTGTGAATAGTGATGCTTAAATACAGCGTTTTTATCCGTTTATCTACGAAATAGAATATAAACATTAATTACAAGTCAAGCTACAATATAGAAGCAAAATGTAGTAACGTATATAGTGACAAATTGGTTACATTTTATTTTTAAATATAGACGAACTTAACCTATGGGTGTGTTCGAGGAGACGCTATTTAACGTTACCGCGTCATTCTATCTTTATTACTCTTTATATGCACATAAGGATTGAATGACGCGGTAGCGCTAAATAAAGTCTTCTCGAACGCACCTTATGAATACCGGCCTAAGTGCACAATATATATCTATTACTTAAAGTGTAACAAGTGCAAGGCCTAAGTGTAAAACTCTGATTCAACGGTCATCGGCTATTTTGTCGCTACGAAACGTAGAATAGAACGCGCGTCCGCGTAAAGTGATCAGGCTTTTGTCGGTATCGTGTTAATTAACGCGTTTCTCAGTTCGAACCGTATCTACACGAGTGTCAATGCTAATGTCACTACTACGAGTGAGTTATTCAGAGTGCCGCGACGGAGCAACCAGGATACTATATCGAGAAACCAGGACGGAGGAAGCAGAACGCCTAGATGTGAGAAACAGTATGTCATATATTTCCAGGTGTGTGCAATCATTTATTATATAGCTGATTTTTAAGGATGTTTGTCGAATATAACGAGAATAAGGACATACTCGAGAAATTTAGACCGACATTTATAACCCGTTATCGATAAATTATTATAACTTCATTAATCTCTGGTTATTCGTCAATCTGTACACGTACCCTAGTCAACACGTTTCATTTCAGCTGTATAACTTCAAATGTAACAATAATTTTACATAATTATAATTTCGTACTCAACAATATAACTGCGATATGGCACATGTACATGTAGCAATATAGAAGTATATACGTAATAGCTACGTTAAAGAAACGTTAACATATATAATAGCTACGTTAACGAAACATTAACGTGTATATATATATATATATATATATATATATATATATATGATATATTGCAGTTATATTGTCGAGTACGAAATTATAATATTTATGCAAAGTTATTATTACATTTAAAGTTATATAGCTACAATTAAACATGTCAATTGGTATTTATTTTATACAAGATTCAAACAGCCGAATATAGATCTATGAATATAAATCGGTA